GGGGAACGGGGAACGGGAAGTTGGTAAAATTTCTACGCGGTAAAATATATTTCTCTAAATATTGTAAATAGAATTTATTAGTGAAATCAGTCAGTTGAAATATTGTATTTGATGAGTTTTAGGGCCCGTTTGCACTAGGCTAAACTAATGTTTGCTTTGCAAAAATATCTGTCAACATCAGCCGTTTCCTGGTGCGAACGCAATTTTTTTTATCTTACCAAAAGGTGTCTCGCTTTACCAAACTTCAAAGCAAGACAAAATTTTGTCAAACGTCAAAACTTTCTTGATTCTTAACAGAATCATATGCATTTGGCACGGAATAAATTCAGGTCATTAGTTGTTACGGTGTCAACATGAATCCAGAGTTTCCCGTTTCCCGTTTCCCGTTTCCCGTTTCCCGTTTCCCGTTTCCCATTCCCCGTTCCCCGTTTTAAAGACAGCCACAACAGCACAGACAATTTCAGCAAACTACTGAACTTTAAAAAAACTTTAAGCAAGTAATAAATGAACTGAATTGAAAAATCTTCCATCCACTTAGCAAGATGACTGAGGTTTGAAAAATGGCAACTTCTCATCAAATTCCTGAATGGCGCAGCGCAGCCGTGACGTCATAAAAACGAAGACAAAGGCGAAATTCAGACAAACAAACTTACAAGTTTACTTTCAGCAGATAATTTTCACAGGCGATCGCAGTTGATCTTAGTTTACATGGGTTATTATTGTAACTTTAAGTAAAAATAATAAAATCGGTTCGTATAATCCTCATAGCGGTTAAACAGAATGCAATGTTTGTCCGAATCTTTAAGCTATTTTTAGAATGAGCGTGCTACTATTGCTTAATATTCTTGAACTTGTCAAAATTAACATACGTAACAAAATCGGCCATTGTCACGAAAAAGCTTCAATTAAACTTAACCTTATTTTTACCTCTCCGCTTTCCCTCCTCTTCTCTGATTTTTCCGTGGAATTAGTGAAACGAAGGTGAGTTGCCTGAAGAGTCAAGGCACAACCAATGAACGAGTTTAGGAAAATTGACTTTTTTCAAGGCCCAAAAAACCCCACAGATTTTTGAAATCTGGACATGCATATATTAGTTTATATAATTTCATTTTATTTACAGACATTGGCTTCGCTCAATAAATTTTCAAATGATTGGTCGAAAAGAAGAAATTGATTGAATAAAAAGGGGATAAAATAAAAAAGTAAGTAAGCGCAAGTTTTTGTTTTTTTGTTTTGTTTTGTTTGCTTGTTTGATTTTGTTTTTTGTTTTGTTTTTTTCTTTTATCTTGCAACAGAWTCGGAGTCGAAAGCAAGGTGCCTACCATTTACCCAGAAAAAGCGGAAATATTCCAGTTTGAGAACAAATGGTATATGTCATCCCGATCGGAAAGTTTCGGAAAACTAAGTCTTCCGATTGAGGTAATATGCCACTTTTCCGCTCTTTTCGTTTATTCGAATAGAAATGTGTACCATTTGTCGGAAGTCAAAGTTTCCCGCTCTTTTCTTACCATAAGCAAACGAATTTCCAACCGGATGGATTGGTTTAAATTGTAAGCACCCCAGTTCATGGGTGAAATTGAAAGCGAAAACTGCTCGTCATTAAGCGTAAGCACAAGCCAAGAAAAAATAAATCTTCTGACTCTGTAGTCTCCTGCAGCCCGCAGCCACGATGCCTTCGACTCCGGACTTCGATTTCGTCGCAAGTGAAATCTAGTTTTTTAAGATTTCCTCACATAACATTCGAAGCGAATTTCAAATATAGGTTAAAAAAGGTGGAACAAAAATGACAAAAAACAAAAACAAACAAACAAAAATCAAAACCTTGCTTTGCTATGACCATTCTAACTCAAGTCAGCATATGTTGGATCGTATTCTACCTTTTTCTCGGCAGGCGTTGATCCGTACTCGTGAACTGATCTTTCAGTTGCTATAGTAACAGTTGTTTCTGAGGGCCATTCGCGGCCACAACACTGGCTAAAAAACAACCGTATCTTTCTTTGTACTTTCTCGGTGCAGAAACAAAAGATGATGAAGTTAGCAAAACCTTGAGCGTTATCTCCGATACCCTGAAAGTTAAAAAAAATATAGAAATATTCGGCTTAGCTTAGTGCTAACTCATTTCAGACCACATGACCATTCCCTTGAGTATTGAACACACAATAGACCCATTCAGCTTGGCTCAATGTTGTCCCATTTCAGACCACACGACCATTCCCTTGAGTATTACATAAGCAATAAACCTCTCCTTCCCCTCCCCTACCTACTTCGCCCTTCAAACTCACCTGAAAGTAGAGAAGCCAGGATGTATCTGGATTGCTCACAGTGGGTCCCGTTTGAACAAAAATAAAGAAGCGAATCGTTCCCCAAATGTGTAAAGAGATGAAGATCAGAGGTACAATTATCAGCTTCACCTCTGTTATTTTCACGGATTTTTCACTTCTTGCGTCAAGTAGAAGCCTGTGGGACTTAATCAAAAAAGAAAGATACCTGTATTTATTTATTTTTTTTCGCACAACGACGACAAATAAAAGGCAAAAATTGAAGGTCACTTGATCTTAGCGTCACAGTATTTTCGAGAAACTTATTTTTTGTACCACTTTAATTTCGTTATGAAATCGCGAAATCTCGCGAAAGTGTGACAAACATTTCACGCAAATATAACTTGGTAACCCTCCCTCATCCAAATTTACTGTTTTTTAAGGTAACTTACCTGTTTTCTAAGATTTCTATTGACGAAATAATAGAGCACTGAAATTATTACGTAAGAAAGAATCTCCCAAAATTTGCCCGTGGCCAACATCCAAACAACTTGCTGTTGCCAGCTCAATCTAATGCTGAACCAACACCAACCAGACGTTACAATATCGGCGTTATACCCCAGCTTTGCTCCGTACGACGCTATAACTGTAATGCTAAGAGGAAGGCCCCAACCGACAGTATGGAAAATGCAAAAGAGTGTTCCTCGTGCAATGAGTTTTCTGCGAGAGCAACTGTAGTACAGATATACTGCCATAATAACTGTCCAAGCGAACGAGGAGAGACAAGAGAAGGTCACTACAATACTCTGGACTAAACAGATGATTTTACTTCTTGTTAGGATTCCAATCAAATTCCCAAAGGCTAAGAAGAAGTCAGCAACAGAGATGTAGACGAGAATTCTCCGTGAAGGCGACTGGATTTCATTCCATAACAGATAGGTTAGAACGATAAAGGTTGTTCCAAGCATGGAGAGGATCGCAGTTATCCCTGCAAGGGCAAGATTGGTGGTTGTGTTCGCTGCAAACTGGTTGTTTGTTAGGTTCATTTTGACTTCTTTTTTCTTTCCAGCAATTTTTTCGACTTACACCGTCAAAATATTAAGATATAACTAGCTAAAAACTAGTGTGAGCTGCGTCGGTGTTTCTAATGAAACAGTAATGATGAAAAGGTAAATTATACACCGTGAAAAGA